TTTGAATTTGAATTTGAATTTTACTTTATTTGTATGCCGCCCTTTTCCCTGAGGGGACTCAGGGCGACTCACAATTCAAGGGAGGGGAGAGAGACAAACAAAGTTACAGAACATAAAGATCTGGATTGGGCAAAGATTATATTGTCCTGTTTTCTTGATTTCAGGGAGACATCGGATTCAGAGGGCAGCCTGGAATTCCAGGGCCTCCAGGGAAAGCAGTAGGTTTTCTTTTTGTATTGCATTCCCCCACACACACCAAGACCCCACATTATATCTAAGATATAACATGATTGCAGTGCTCCAGTGTTTGAGGGGCTCCCCCAAAGAAGAGGAGGTCAACCTATTCTCCAGAGCACTTGAGGGCAGGAGAAGAAGCAATGGATGGAAACTAATCAAGGAGAGAAGTAACCTAGACCTAAGGAGGGATTTCCTGGCGGAAAAATTAATCAGTGGAACAACTTGCCTCTAGAAGTTGTGGGTGCTCCAGCCACTGGAGGTTTTTAAGAAGAGATTGGACAGTCGCTTGTCTGGAATGGTATAGGGTCTCCTGCCTGAGCAGGGGGTTGGACTAGAAGACCTCCAAGTCTTTTAGTCTGTTTAAGCTGTAAGGGAGCACAAGACTGACATTCAGCAAGCACCAAATTTAGCTCCAGTGCTACTAGTTAAAATGATTTCTGGAAGCTGTTGTAGATCAGAAAGGGCCAATGAGATTCTCATCCAAGAAACTTTTTCAGTTCTGGCTTCTTGGATGAGAAGTGAAATGTTTTCAAGAAGAAGAAGAAAAACCCTCAAAAAGTTCAGCTGCCTTTTGAAAACATACATCTTTATGTTTTCATATAAATACCTTTGAGACAACCATGACATGGATTATTGAGAATCCCCATAGACATTCCCACCAACACTGGCAGGGCAATCCACCATATATAAACAAGGAGCAAACTGCACACCCACCTGCATTGATGATGTTACCTAGTCAGGTAATAATAGCAATAGCAGTTAGACTTATATACCGCTTCATAGGGCTTTCAGCCCTCTCTAAGCGGTTTACAGAGTTAGCATATCGCCCCCACAATCTG